TACTTCCATGATAGTGTCTTTCGACCTCAATTAATATGCATAACTAATATCTTGAGCACTTCTGCAGATAAGAACAGATATGATTTTAATACAACAAGTACTACAATTTGTATCACAATATACAGAGTAAACGTACTAAATCTTGAAATCTTATTTCATTTATGCCACAGTACAAATAAAACAAAAAGAACTTCCGTTTAAAACACCGGGGGCGCTGTGATTAAACATGCTGGCTGGAAAATGATCAGCTAAGTGCATGTGCATGAGAAGACAGTCCTTGTTGGTATAACAGTAAACATAACACAATTGATATGATGTATAATGTAATGTTTTATTGTATTCAGACAATGCATGTCAGAGACACGGCTCTAAAAAAGCACATTTTGAATCTGTTCTGAAAAAAAAACATTTGTCTTGTTATATGTGTTCAATGTATGTAACCAAACCGACAACAGCTGTCTATGTACAACAATGATCTGACTCCGCCACGGCAGAAATGATGGGTTTTGATTAATATTTAATATTAAAATGGCTGTTAATCTCCATCTTGATTCTGATGGTCAAACAGATAAATGTGAATACGTGCAACAAGATGTGTGATGTATAAAAAGTTTTTAACAAGGCATGTAAGCATTTGTAGGAAATCCAGCTGTTTGGCTACAATTTAGCTTTTTTTAAGAAAAATTGTATGATTTGTCATGTGTTTATCAAGCTGTTGTGTGTATTATCTTATGGGTCTGGATAGTTTACAAGATTCTCCCCCCACTACTGTGTGATTTATAATTAAAACTCACTATAAAACATCGAATTACATATATGTTGTGTTGTGAAACATGTACAAGAAATGGAAACACATTCTTCTTATTTACAGTTGTACATACATTCTTGATGTAATGACTGAGATTTTGAATTTGACAAATGTGATGAGAATGAATTTTATTTGTTTTTACATAACATTGATAGACGAAAATAGTGGCCAAGATCTTATACATTGTTAGATCTCCATGAGATGTGTGGCTCTCTCACTCTCAACGAGATTTCAGTGGCCATTTGTAACCAAATTATGTATTTAACACATGATTTAAGAGGCACCTGTGCCAGAGATTTAAATAACTATTACTTGGGAAGTTGAAATGACAATATTATGCTGGTTTTGGCATTTTGGGGGAAAAATACTCCATACTAAAATGTGGATTTCAGCAGTTAAACATGTTTTATAGATGGTAACATCGTATACAACCAGGAGTGTTTTTACGAAGGAAGAGATTTCTGACACAATCTTGCTAACAGTCCAGCCATTTGCAACAGCGTCTGTACACCCTCTGCTATTCGAAGATGAGTGTAACCGATCTCCTGCAGCAAAGAAAGAGAACAGTATAATTTGATGTTTTAGTAAAAATGTTGGTGCAAATGTTTGCAAGTTGTTGATAATTTTCTTAGTTAACTGCTCATTCATGTGCGAGTAAAGGCTGGACATGTACATATGTGGACAAAACAAATCAACTAGTTCTGAGGATTTGATTTGTAAAGCACTGTGAACTGTGATCATTTCCTTGGTTACAGAAAATCATCAAGTTAAGATGACGAGTGCAATTAAGTAAATGTCTGCAAGAGTGTTGTGCAGTCTAATGATTATTTTTTTCACGGACAGTTTAATGAAATGCTGATAACATTATAAAGTGACTTGCAATACATTAAAAGTGGTAAAAAGGTTCAAAACTTTCATGAAAATTTGGAGCAATGAAATTTGTATCCATAAAGACTCACCTTAATATATTCTAACTTGAGATATTCTTGTATCTGTGCCGTCTTACAGACTCTAAACATGTTGTTAATGATATCTTCAGCCGAGTATCCCATCATCCATAGATGCCTCATTAATCGATAAGCTTCATCTATGTTAGAGTCAACACAGTACTCCAGCATGTTCTTGATCACCAGTGGGTGTGGTTCATCACAAACCTTTGACATAACAAAGCAGAGATAAGCAAATGTTGATCTTTGACAAAATGACTTCATTCATCTTAAAACAGCCATTACTGCACATGCATGAATTTGCTTCAACCTTGTCTGAACACTACATCAATGGCATATAGTAAAGCATATTGTGTAAGTGATATATACTCCCCTTCATTCTAAATACCAGTTACTGTATTTCAAATTATTAGTTACAAGGTTAGGGAGTCCAAAAACAGCCATACGAGCTATTCTACAGAGCCTAGGGGGTGCAATGCTTTGCATCACTCATGCAAATCCAACTTTGTGGAAAAAAGTACATGCACAGATTTGTTTGTGATGTAGGTGTGCTGGAAAAATTCTAGTCTGTTTTCCGATTTGACAGCAAATTTGATGAGGAATTATATGTAGCAAAAATTAGTAAAAATATTTGCTGGCTGGCTTTCTCCATCTTACCTTGAATACATTTTCACCAGTGACATCACCAAAACCTTGCCACGTTGATTGTAAATTGTTGAGAGCCTGTGACAACAGCAAAAATGTGAATGAATGGTTGTATAAAGAGACAGATGAAGAAACATTCATACACACACAATAGAGCAGAATAGAATTTATAACATCTTGGCATATGTATGATGTCTCTGGGGACAACAATAAGGTGTATTCAATTTGTGAAAAACTGAGGCAAACAGAAATGTCTAGTTGTCTGTCACTGGCGTGCAAGTCAATAATGTAGCAAACAAGGGAACACAAAACCCTACTCGTAAAAATAACGAAACAACTCCCACATAAATTGTCCTTCATTATATCAAAGTCAAATTATTCCATGGCATGTATTGCACATAAATAAAGTGACATCACTGTAGTGCTTATTAATGTGATGTAGGTAAAGGTCTTTCCAACAGCAGATAATGCACATGCACACATCTAACTTGTGTCTCTTTAAATATTGACATTCATAGTCAGTGAAATTTCAACAATCAACCAGCATGGACCAGTAGAAATGTGAACATGCACAGATCTGACGAGTGTTTTAAGGAAACAAGTGTCATGCAGTGAAATATCAACAATCAACGAATATGAAGTTTACCTGTCGCATGTCGCCTTGCGAAGTGAATATAATTGCTTCTAGTCCGCTATCGTTATAAGTCACATTTTCTCTCTCAGATATTTCCAGCAATCTTTTCAATACTTGGGCATCACTTAATTTGGAATACCGTAACACAGCACACCGAGATTGGATAGGTTCTACAACATAAAGTTATATTGATGTGTCAGTGTCATCAATTGAGGGCTATGGCTACCCATTCAGTGTCTGACATTTGGATTATGTTATCTACAGTGATATGTGGGGGTAGAGGAAGGCATGGGGCTGGGGTGAGTAGAGGCAGTGAATACAATATCTACTCCTATTTGTTAATGGCAGTTGAATTTTCAAACACAAAATACACTAACTATACACCTTTCAATGAACATGATAACAGATCAAAATACCTTTAGAAAGAACTCCTGTGTTCTAAGAAATAGTGACTACTGGTATTTAAAATTAATATTTTTTTTTAGATCAGTATTCAAACCAGCAGCCTGTTGGCTAATATGGTTTGAAATGCACAATGTGAAAGCAATCTAATCCACTGTACTGAGGTTTATGCCACTAGAAAACTAGGAACTCTAAAACAAAAGGAATAAATAAACCCAAACACACATCTGCACAACGTTGCATTGAATGGTTACTGAGTAATCAGAAAATTACCCAATTTATTCAATTAGGCAATTACTGGTAACTCAAATGATTTAAACTAAAATTCTGAAAAAAAGCTAAATAAAAAGCTCTTTACACAAATTTTCTATGCAATGCCCAGAAACATGAAACATTTTTTCTAGACCTTACCTATAATTTTATCTGAAGTGTTGCAAGCCAAGGCAAACCTAGTTGTTTTTGAATAAATTTCCATAGTTCGCCTCAAAGCTTGCTGTGCACCATCTGTCATACTGCAAATAAACATCAATGCAGTCAGCAACAAGTCATGGATGCATGCAGACAGGCAGACGAAGGACAGACATTTATAATTATCTTGGTTACGTTAAGTGTACTGTTGGTTTCAACAAGTACAAGACATGACATCATGCATGCTTTTAGAAAGTAGGATGAAGACCATCATCAAAAGATACACAACAGTTCAGCTCTTTCAATTACACCTTGGACATCACTGTCACCATGGTAACATGAATACTACTCACCTATCTGCCTCATCAAGGATGATAATTTTGTGTCTTCCTTTGGGTAGTGTTACTTTCTGTTGGGCAAACATCTTGATTTTATTTCTTACAACATCAATGCCTCTGAAGTAAAAAATCATTACAAAAGATGGTTACACAAAGCAGAATAAACTGCTGAAAAGGAATGGTTTTGTTTCTGGCTGAAGAATTTAGGGGATACACAGTAACATAAACAGGTAGACCTGGAAGTAACTACTAAAAATCTCCATTGTTCATTGACATTGTAAATCCAATATTAAACTGGATCTAAATTAGTCAATGGCTCATGGTTCATAAAATAACATGGTTAACCCTTTGACTGCCAGATATTTTTCCCGTCCAAAATTCAGTGAAAGTATTTCACATTTTGTAAAATTGTCACTAAATTTAATCATCATTTTGCTTTTGCATATTGCTTTTACTTTTAGACCAAAAGGTTTGTCAATTTTACCAACATTTCATAGAGCAGACTATACAACATCAAACGTTGACAATGTCCCAGGGATTTTTTTAAACAAGGGAACAGGGGCCCAGCGCCCTCATGCCATGGCCATGCGCCTCCTTACCCTGGGGAGCAGATCCTCTGGCAACCATAAAATTCTGATTGACCAGGGATCACATGTGGCCACAGTCTTCAACTGTGACCTGTCTGATGGTAATTTTGGCCCCAAGGAAGCCATAGTATGCTCCATTTTAACTTTTATAATTTTAATTATCAAAATCTCCACACCCTGGTAGGTAGGGAGAACCCTATCTCCCCCACTTGGTGGCGCCGCTGAATTGCAGTGCTCCCTCTTGCAGTTTTTTTCTAGAAAAAACCCTGATGTCCCCCAAAGAGTTAATTATTTGACCACCATCTAAATACTGTTTGCACATTTTATTTTATTCAACCCAAGGAACCACCATGATAGTGAGCGTAATAGCAAAAGATGTGGCGTTGAGAAGCAGCATGCTTTCCATCATGAGTAGTTGGTCGCACAGGTATGTTTCTGCATCATGAAATGATATGAATACAATACCTGTCATTGGATGCATTTAGTTCCAACACGGCATCTTTGAAAGCAGTTCCAAGTAAACATCTAGCCAAACATAGAATACTGGTAGTTTTGCCAATTCCTGGTGGACCCTGATGAAATAAATAAGTCAACATGATGGTCAGAAATTACCCTCTGCTCGCTAAACCACTCATTAGATTCTGTAAGTCTAAAACAGCCCAGCCCAATATTTCAGAAAAGTATTTCTGTATTGGTGATATTTGCAGTCCCATTTAATAAATCGTTGAGGGTCCATAAACCGTAATATTTCTATTACCGGTAGTAGCACATGCACTTATGTACATTACATACAGAACATGTAAGTGTTTCTATTGTCAAAATAAATAATATTTTAATGATACAGCATGTAACAAAAGCAATTCGTGGGTTTATTTTCGGGGGCGGATATCCAGGCATTTTCACAGCCTGGCAACCATCACAGTGAAAACAAAGCCGAAAACTCAGAAAAAACATACTTTTGGATAGTTGTTGGGACCCTCCTGAACAGTGTAAGAAGATTACTCCTGCGTGTGCAACATATATAAATTTGGCTGTTCAGGATTACTTCAAAATTGAGTTTGTGTTTTCCTGAATTTAGCTATTTTCACTGGCTCTTCGACAAGCGTTCCACAGCAGCATGCGCAGACCCCATAGAAATACATAGTACAGTGATGCGCGTCCTAGCAACGTCTTGTGACGTAGCTCCGCCCCAAGGATATTGCGCTTCTAGTGCATCACTTCTAATAGACCAAATATGATAAACCATAAACTGATTGCAGAATGGTAAATGAACTAAATTAGCTGCAGAATATGAATATAAAGATTCTTCTTAAATAATTCAGGGCAGGATATCCTACATTCAAAATATAATAATTTTTTAGCAAAAGCAACAAAAATTTGGCAAAATCATTTAGCTTGTTCTGGAAGTGATGTTTCAGACGTTTGTGATATCTATCCTATGTGAAGTCACAGTGAATTTCATCATTCACTTGATGCAATTAAATTCAAATGCCAGATCTCATATAGCCTAAAATTCAAATTACAGAAAATTCTACCAAATCGTTTGGTTAGTCAACAATTTTGGATCAGACTGAAGTAATTTCCCACTGGCTACAAAGCTTGATGGAAAGTTGCAAACCAACTTTGAAAACAATTATATGGTTATGAAATGGAAAAAAGTTGACTTGACATTTAGAGGGTTAATCTTTTCACCATCAGATCTTCTTGTTCACTTTTTCCTTACGTTCTTTAACATTTCTGGAAATGAACCCAAATTTTGGAGTGAACAGACAAAATTTGAGTCAATTAAAAAAATTGGGCTATTGTTTGTGAAAGAAAGTGCAGACTATAGTGGTGATTTTTTTGTAAATTTGTAATGAAAAAAAAAAAAAAAAAGTACTGAAGGTGAAGGTAACGGTAAAAACCACAAAATGGAATTAGACGTTTGTGTTCTAAAACGTCACAAGACCTTTGCATTATATGGCTTTACTATACACATATCATACAGGGCTTGAAATTAGCGGTAACCCAGCATCCACACACTACCAGTCTCTTTCTTGGCGCTACCACTTTTCAAATTCGGTAGCCCAACTGGGTTACCAAAAATCTGGGATGAGACCATATTTACTCTAGGACGCGCGATTGCCCACCTATTCTTTTAATGATAGCCTGTGCGTGTATTTGATTATGACACGGCAACTAGCTTGCTGATACAAATAACAATCACCCTCCCATATATTTCGTTTAATATTGTGCGTCCTTATATTTAAAAAACATTACCTTCTTCGGGTATGCGTACCTAAGTTGGAATAGCCTGCATTGAGTTTCTGGAGTGCGTGTGTTGCAACTTGCCGAGTTGAATTGTCCTTCCCGCTTGTTGTGTGATTTAATTAATTATTTCGCGTGTCCAATTTTTGATTATTACTCAGTAGTGATCATATTAACGTATAAAAAAATTTGTTGAATTGTTAAGAAATGCAACTTAGTTTCATCGTAAGTGAATGATTCTGGACGCAAATTAAATGCTCGATGCTGGAGAATATCCGCCATGCTTTGACCTGGGACAGAGTTCTTTGACCTGATAATCGTAAATTAACCAATCAAAATGGTGGATGATGCCAACGTGCTCAAAGCTCATTTAAATATGTTAATGTTATTGAATGCATCACAGAAGAGATTTGTCGGTATTGTAGTACAATCTTTTGGCTTGGATTTAGATGGGAAAACGGCATGATTTTTTTAAAAGATATACTGAGCATTGTTTAGTGATAACAGCTCATAGTCGAAACGAAGCTTACCCATTCACGCTAGTCACAATAAAAATCATACTTTTGACTACGGTAAAATTTAAATTAGACTATAGTACGCATTTGGAATGATTTAAATGTCCAATTACGCCAAAATATTTAATAAAAAAAACATGATTTCTTTTATTTTAAAAAACAAACATTGTATAGACAGGATTACGTTACCGTAGTGTTAGTTCTGAGTGTGTGAGAAATGACTGATCTCAATAAAGCACCATTTGCAACAAAGTTGCCAAAATGTGACCTCAAATTAGTGCCAGACAAAAATGAAAATGTATCCAAGTGGCGCCTAAATGAGGTATTATACAGTACAATCAAGACAATTTTTTTGTGGCAATTTAAGTTTTATGACATAAAATTGAATACTGTAACATTAAAACTTTAAACTTGGAATTTGCAGTATTTCACAATGCACAATGAGTGAAAGCAGTGAAACTATAAAATATGAACTCTCTATTTCAGTTAGGTTCTCCTGTCTATAGGAAATTAGTACCGGTACATTCAAATATATGAAACATTATCTACCTGTCAAAATAATGTACTGAACATGACATTTGTTTATAGAAAAACAAGCCATGCATGGCACAGTCCCCATTAGTTATCAAATTTAAGATATATAGTTTTGTTTATAGTAATATAGCTGGAATATAACCATGTCAGGAATATGATTTTTTAACATTAAAATTATTGACATTTGTATCTGATCGTCAAAAAAGTACGTGTTCATATTGAGAGATATTGCTCTGGAACAGCATTCAAAATCAGCCATTTTGAATACATGTTTATATATGATATGATGTATAATGAATATTTAAAATTTGAATATAATCAGTCAAAACAAGTCGGAAATATGGGTCTAGAAGCCCATTCATTAAAACAAAACGGCCACCAGACAGCCATTTTGAATCCAATCTGAAAAATAAATGATGTGCACCAGGAACCTGTAATGATTAATATATGTACCAACGAAATCCATCCATAAATGCTTGATATTTGATGATTTTTTAGCACGAAAATGGCCACCATTTGGCCATTTTGAATAGGATCGTCAAACCAATATATCTGTCTATCTATGACATGATGTATTTAAAATTCGAACATAATCAGTGAAAGCAAGTCAGAGATATGGCACGAGAACCACATTCATTAAAACAAAATGGCCACCAGTCGGCCATTTTTAATCTTATCTGAAAAACAAAATTATTTGCATCAAGGTCCCATAATGTCTAATGTATATACCAAGTTTGAACAAAATCCAACTGTAAACAGCCGAGAAATGCTTGATTTTTAGGATTTTTTAGCACAAAAATGGCCGCCATTCGGCCATCTTGAATCAGATCAAGAAACAAATTGACGTGCATATGTATAATATCATGTATGATGTATGTATGTAGTTTGATTGTAATTGGGTCCAGGCATTTTCTAA